CCAGAAGCAGCTCCGCCCCCCTCCCCCCTGCAGGCTCTGTGAGAGCGCCTTCCCCCCCAGCCCCAGCCCCCAAAGGAGCCTGTTGGAGACTGAGGGCTGCGCGGAGTGGTCTGTGCGTGTGGTATTTACTATGAACAATGGTGCCTCCCTGGCCTGTGGCAGGTGAGGAGGCCAGTCACACTCTCCACTCAGCCCCCAAGAGCAAGGAGGGCCGGGCACTCCTGCTTAGGTCCACGAGATGGCTTAGGGCCAGAGGCTCACACCTGTGATCCCAGCTACTCAGGAGGCTGAGATCTGAGGATTGCGGTTCAAACCCAGCCCAGGCAGGAAAGTCATGAGACCCTTATCTCCCCAGGACTGACACACACACACCAGACGGCTCGGGTCAGGGTAGCAGCTGTGAGAATGGAAAGGCTGTGGGGCCCGGGCCTCTGCAGGGGCCAGGCCCAGGCCCCCGAGATCGGGGCCCAACCCAGTCTCCAAGCCTGGACTGGGGCCAGTCCGGAGATCCTGTAACTGTCCCGCAGTCCTGCCCTGGGCATTCCCGTGTCCATGGCGGCCGACTTTCCACCCCTCAGGCCCCGCCCCGCCCCACCCTCGGCCCCCGGCCCTGGCTTTGCTAGCAGCGCACACCTGTCCCGAGAGCCTGCGCTTGTCGGGCCGGGCCGGCTGCGGACGCACAGGGCTGGCCCACTCACCTCCTCCAGGCTCTGGCGGATGCTGCCCAGCACGGAGAGCACATCCTGGGTGGGCACCACCCCTAGGGGACAAAGTCACCATCAGCAGACGGGGCCCCGGTGCCCTCCAGGGGACACCAGCCCCCCCCACTGAAGCCCCACTGATCACAGCCCTCAGCGGGGAGCACGTGGGGCAGGCGTGAACACGTGTGGCTCCCACAGCTCAGCCCGCTGGCCAGCCGGTCCCCCACGCAGCACCCGGCCCGATCCCCCGCCGCCCCAGGCTCGGGCCGAGCCCGGCCGCCCGGCAGCCCGCCTCACCCTGCTCGCCCACCAGCGTCATCAGCAGGTGCTGCTCCTTCTCGCTGGGCTTGCTCAGGGAGATGCGCCAGGCGTCGCGGCCCCGGCCGGGCAGCGCCTCCTCCACCAGCGCCAGCAGCTGCAGGCCCCGGTGCCGCCGGAACGCCTCCTGCATGGAGAGGTGTGCTTCAGGACCGGCCGGACGCCCCGGCGCGGGCAGTGCTGGAGATGGCCGTGAGCCGAGCTTGACAGGGAGCGCAAACTCCAAGATCACCTCCACCATGGCTCTCGGCTCTGGCCAGAGGCGGCCTGGGCTGCCCAAGACCCCCGCGTGGAGCCAGGGGTAGGCCTGGGACTTGCTGGTGTGGGGGCTGGGCTGGTGCTGGACACAGTAGGTCCTGGGCACAACCCAGATGCCTCTGCAGCTGCGGGCAGAGACGCGGGCTGGCCCCCGTCACCTTAATGGGCAGAGGGACCGCCGGCAGGGGGATGGCTAGCTTGCAGACTTCCTCCATACACATGTACAGTTTCATAGTGTGTACCAGAAACAAGAGGCTGGCCAGGGGTGAGTCCAGCCTGCGGTGGAGCAGCCGCTCTGGCCCCTCTCCCCGTCCTCTCTCCCAGCTGCCCGGTTCTCTGCACGCACGGCCACCAGGCCCTCCAGCACTCCCAGCCTGCTTTTCTGCTACAGCCCAGGCTAGTGAGCAGTTCCCTGGTCACCATGCCAACTCCAAAGGCCACCAGGCTGGCTGCCGTGCGGGCTCTCACCTGCCCCGGATACCCGCAGGGGCCGTTCTCCTGCATTCTCTGGTGGGGGGGTGGGGCAGGCCGGGCTCCACGCTGCCTGAACCAGGTGCCGGCTGCCCCTGCAGCCCTCCCGCCCCTGCGGCCCTCCCGCCCCGGGGCCCTCCCGCCCCGAGGCCCTGCTCCCCACCGGGTGCGGCCCACCCGCTGCTGTGCCAACCATCCTCAGCTGGGAAGCTGAGGGCTGTCAGGGAGCCACGCTGTGGCCATTCCCGCCAGGGAGCCACGCTGTGGCCATTCCCGCCAGGGAGCCACGCTGTGGCCCTTCCCGCCAGGGACCACGCTGTGGCCATTCCTGTCTGTCAGGGAGCCACGCTGTGGCCATTCCTGTCTGTCAGGGAGCCACGCTGTGGCCATTCCTGTCTGTCAGGGA